TGCGCTTATTCGCTGCTGTGTCTGCTGCGCTGTCTCTTGAATCGTTGGAGAAGTAGTAGACGGCACCACCAGCACCAACGACCAGCGTTATACCTGCAATGGTGTAGACGACGCCCTTGTTCTCCGAAGCCCAATTCGACAATCGGTCCCATAGCGAGTTGTTAGTGTCGACAGGAATCTGGACTGGGAAAGGCCCCGGGCCCTGCGGGGCAGGTGCATTCACGGGCGCCATGGTCGGTGTGGTCAAGAGTGTATTAGGTAGATGGAGGTTTAGAGAGCCCGATATCGTAGTGCTCAATGGCGTTGGGCGGTTGTGTGTTGAGTCGCAGAAATTTGGGCTAGGGCAAGCTTGATGTGCAGCAACATGAACGCTGTCGGGCCCGCTCGGACGTCATCAGCCGGACCCACTTGAGACATTCGATTAGTTCAGCGTCATAAGGATAGATTTGTTCCATATACACACTATCAGCTGGACAGATGAAAGGCAGTTTCTGCTGGACAAATCTTGCATAAAGGGTTGATCATGTCTCTAAATCTTACACTGCGTCTTCCATCTCATTTTCAGATATAATTCCTCATCTTTCCCTCAGCTTCCTAAACCATATTTCTCTAGTGATAACCTTCTTTGTTTATCATGGCTATCTATAACGAGCCCAATAGAAAAGTGCGCATATACCATTTGCTCCTTTTTTGTAATGACGGAAAGGCAGTTGTTAATTGAATGGCAGTGATCCAATACAAGTCACGCTAAGATCGTATGCTCTTTCAACGCTATGGAACACAGAGTACGTAGGTCCTTAGTATCATGCACAACCTGGGTTAATTGAAGATAGCCAAAAAGGCCAGAAGACACGGGCACTCCCCCTCACGATGGAGGTTTTTGGACACTTCCGTACTCACCCCTGCTAAGCTCTCTGCTGGTGAGCTTCGGATGTGCACGACCGCGAACGATGGCAACGAGTCCCTTTTTTTCAACTTGTGGAGGAAATGTGCACATATTTTGCGCAACAATTGATTCAGACACGTCTGACAATCCATTATATATATAAACATTACATACACGCATGCAAGCATTGCTACCAAAAGGCTGACCTCACAGCATGCTCCTCCTCTTGGCCAACTTTTGATATTGTCGCGACGTCCTCGTATGACCATCTTCCATCTCATAGTCCGCTGACGCTATGCTACCCGGTCTTACAGTCGCAGGAGCTCTGAGGCTCTCTACACCACTTGCTGGCCGAAGCTTTGTCGGTGCGGAGTCTTTCCTGCTTAACCGTCGCTTGATCACCTCGGATATGTGAGAGAAATAGCCATTACCAGCTTTGACCTCTCGTGGAGCGGCTTGGTGTACCGGAACGTGGGTATGAGTATGGGTATGGCCGTGGGTGTGGTTATGCACATGCGCGTGCCCGTGGTCACCAAGAAGATGTGACTTTTCGCCAGGTTCCATGTATAAGTGGCTACCCTCATGGTTGACGAACCAATTCACCATGTATTGTTTGCCCTCCGGCCCACCGCCACAAGATCCAGCGAGAACGTGTGATGGAGGAGAGTTGACAGCGAGGGCGAAGAGGTTTGGTGGTTCGCAAAAGTCCGTCACCAGTCCGCGGTGGAGAATGAAGTAGATCAGGACAAAGATGTTCATGGCGAAGACAAGCGCAAGTATGAGGACCCACGCTCTAGAAGCACCTGGCATGCCGCCAGATGCGTATTGTTGGGCTTTAAGAGATGCTTTGAAGAATTGAGTTTGATACTCGTCGAGCATAGGGTGTGTGTAGTTCTATCACCAGGTTAGCAAGCCTGGAAGAGGTAGAGAAAAGAAGTTTGCGTACCCAGAACGTCACAAAGGGCGTATCTATCATACTGAGAAGCAGTGTACATCCAGCCAAGACAGCTATCGCCTCTCCTATACTAGGTATGGCATCGCTTAGATCCACTTTGAAACTTTCTGGAGCTGGGTCGCTAGGCTTCAGTATCAACTGTGTTAATAGTCTGGAAGTGCTCGCATTCGCATCCATGAGGCCTGTGCCGAGTGAAAGACTGTTGGCCCAATCAGTACCTATGTCGCGCCAGTTAGCCACGCCTTGGGTATTGACGCTGACTGTCTCTCCCGTCTCGACGAAAGCCATTTTGTCGTCACCAGGTTGTTCGCAAAGTGCTTCCATGGTAGCACCGGATCCTGTGACATTGTGTCGTGTACTGCATCCTGGTCGCACCATCAGGTGTATCTTGCACAATGAAAAGATACCTGTTCCGTCCATGCCGACGTCATCTGGGCCACCCTGCCCAAGCATATATATTGCAGGTCGTCCCCAGGCGTTGCTTGAATGATTCATGATCGTGTTGAAAGATATTGGGTATTTCGCAAAGACAGGCGGCCAATTGAGGGTGGTTGTGTCATTAATGTCCCAGCCGAAAATCTCGTCGACCACAGTTCTATTGGTTGTGGTCGCGTTGTCTCGAATTCCGGGAAGACTTCCCCACGAAAGGAGATCGACCGTTTCATTGTTCCAGGTGTCGTATACGATAGGTTCTAACTCCGTTTTATTCATGTTGACGCATAACACATTCAAAACTGGTGACGGTACCGAAGCACGCAACGAGTAAGTCCCTTCAGAATTCAACTCTTCGGGTTGCAAAATCCCGTTTCTCTGGTCGCGGGCAGCAGCGAACACACCCGAGTGGGGCATTGCCATTGTTACGTTGTTGACAGCTCGACCGTACTTCTTGGATACTTCGGTAGTATTGATGATGTCGATCCACTGCCCACTGACCGTAGTATTCTCGTATAGAAGCCCAAAGCCCTGGGGTCGTAGCTTCTGAATCGCAGTACCGTTGCCATTTCTGGCTGATAGATCCCAATCTGAGAGGTAGCGCTGAAAGTTGTGGTATCCCTGACCAGCATGTTCCATTTGTAGACAAGTCTCTCCTTGAGCTACCTTGTCAGTTCGAATGGGTGTCTGGCACATTTGCTTAAGGTAGTTGATGTTTGCGAAATCGCTCTTAACACGACCAGCCAAGACCAGGCCATTGTCCCAGTTACCATCTCTTAGCATGGGCTGAACAGTAGCTGCAGCTGCAGATGAATAGAGAGTCGCTAGAATAGCGCTCAGTAAACTCAAGATACCCAGGAAAGATAGCCCAGCATACTTGGCAGTCTCCCAATGCGTAATTAGAGTTCCAGGCTGAACGACCCATCTCCACATGCTGAGTTCTGACAGCGTTACACCGCGACCATGGTCTTTCATGAACGCTCTTCGACTAAGCACCTGTCCAAGGAAGGCCACAAAAGCTGTGACAAAGGACAGCTCGATAAGTTTGGCCATGACAGTCGTAAGTAGAATAGCGTCAGATGGAGTAATGGGGCCGTGGCTCGTAATGCGCCGACCATAGTGAGGCGCGCGGATAGCCAAGGCTAGGAAGATTCCAGAAAACAAGCACGAGAACAACGAAATGACAATCAGGGACAGGTTAAGCCAGGTGAAGCGCGGATGATAAAAGTCTCGAGTAGTCGCACACTCATGTATTGGGCGAAAGTCGTTCTCATATGCCGACTTGATGGATGGAGCTGCCCCACCTCCTCTGAGTCCTTCGGTATCTGAGGCATGTATGTATGTCTCGTAATCGTTCACACTGGTGTTGCTTTGCTTTGCGTTCTTCAGTATGCCATGCCGAAAGTCTTCGTATGTGCCAACGTCCGGACTTGCCCTGCCAATGTCGGGGCTGAACCTGTCTCGTCGTAGATCTGGCGTGGACTCATTTGAGCTCTTGGGGAAGCCTCCAAAGTATGGGTCGGCCGAACCTGGAGGCGAGAAAGTGCCAGAGGTCTTTGTGGGTGGGCTTTTGGGACCAGGACCAACAGCTCGTCGGGGGATGGGTTGTATACTGACACGTCTGGCGGTCTGCGTAGTCGCACCAGACTGTGCTATCCCTAGCCCAGTATCCTTGCCTCTTTGAAAGTTTTCTGAAATATCCTCTTCCTCATCCTCTTCTGGTACGATGCTTGGTGTGTTGCGGCCGACAGCAGCGGTATCGCTCTGGTGCCGTGCGTAGTTCGGTCGTGCAGGCGGTGGGGTAGTAAGCCCCAGAGTGTGGGAGTTATTGGAGAATCCGAGCGAGGGCAGTGCGGGTGTGTTGTCTGAGCTCTCAGAAAGATCCGAGGACTCCTGCATGAGTGGCCGTCGATCGACCATGGTGCCTGGCGTGTACCACCCCTCTTTGTTGTCGTCTACGTTTCAGCCTTCTCTTCTTATAGTGCTCTTGCGGTCCGTATTGGCGGGAGGCTGCGTAGGGTCGCGTTTGCACAACCTAGGGCTGCAAGTGAGCGGCTCAGCGTGGGTGCGGCGGGAAGACTTCACGACAGGGAGTGGAAGAGATGGACTGTCGTAACAAAGTGAAATGACATGGTAAGGTCGGTCTGTGAAAGACCTGAGAGTTAAGGCTGGAGGGGATTACTATAGCCCGGCTATCCGCAGTTGTCGCACGCACATTCAGCTGTCTCTGGGCGTCTGCAAGCTATTCGCTTGTGGCGCAGGATTACGGCCCCCAAACTACACCCAGACCCATCTGCTGTGCCCTGTGGTGATCCATAGCCTCCATATTACCTCGTACGACCGGTCGCGAAGACGCCGCTGTCAATCATTGCTGCTTGCGCTTTGCGAGCGCGTCTAGCCGTTCGGGAAGCTTGACGAAGCCTATCCCTCTCTCCATAGTTTGCAGTGTGTATGCGGGCAGTAAAGCAAACAACCAGAGTCAGGCTGTAAGTCGGCGACATCAGGGTGTCTCAACAAGGCTGGTGCTGCATGGCGGCCCTTTGTGACAAGCCATCGGGTGCGGCGAGGGGGGGGGGGGTACGCGGTGCCAGGTGGGTTGGAGTGTTGGTGTTAGCACGCGTCCCCGCAAACTCCCATGCCTCGCGTCGCGAGCTAATAAAAGCACGAACGAACACCAGAACTGAAGTCATCGCTACCAACCCCCTGATATTCTAACTTTCTAATATCCTACCCAATAGCCTTGACATGGTCATCCACCAGACACTTCCAATCCGCACTCCCATAGTAGACCGTGTGTCCATCGTCATGCGTCAGCTGTCCAGTACTCTTCACGGTGTCACCCAGCTGCCAAAACAAATCCGCCGCCATACCACTATCCTTTAACGACAGACTAGTCTTTTGCCAGCCACCCTCCACCGGACAATGATCTTCCTTCTTCGGCACACCATATTCTTCGAACAAACACGGCTTGTTGAGCTTCTTACAAATCTGCGCATGTGCCTTGATCCAGCCGTCGCCAAACGCATTGCTCACGCCCCAGCTGTCAGGGTAGAGGTGGAAGGTACCGAAACTGATGTTTCCCACCTTCAAGTTTGCCTCCCAATCTATGCCTTCACCAAACTGGTAAGGATAGGAACCATCGCCCGGGAGACCGAAGCCTTCGTCGCCGACGGTGATCATGTGGTCTGAGTCAAGAGAACGGATGTAGTTACTCGTCTTGCGGATCCATTCAGTCAGGACAGACGTCTGGCAGCCATTACAGCGCGGCTCGTTGGCGAGTTCCCACGCAAACACAGCATTGGAGTTGCGATAGCGGGCAATGACGGCTTTGATGTAACTCTGGTACATGCCCTGACATCTGGCCGCTGTGTACCATTGTGCGTTGCTGCTTACGCCGCAGGCGGAGAAGTAGGCGGCCATACCCCCATAATCGGTCCAGTTATTCACGAAGTTGATTATGAGCTTGATGCCGTGCTTTTCCGCAGCTTTGACTACAGCATCCAGGCGCTGGAGACCGTTTGTACCTGTATTTATGGTGGCAGAGGATCCGGAGAAGGACTGGAAGTATACTGTGCCAGAACCAGGGATGGTTTTGACGTCGTTGAACCCCCATACTCTGAGTATTTTCTGGCCTGACGTAGCAAGATGACCCATGATTACGTCGACATCATTGTCGTTCGTCAAGAAAGGGATCCAATAAGAGTTGGTACCAGCATAGTCTATGGTGTTGTGAGCGGTGCAAAATGATCATTAGTCTTCAAACTTACACTTCGTCACACCATCGATGTTGAACTTGAGGCCGTCGGCTTTTGAGATCGAGGCTCGTGGTGATAGACTAAATGTTGCAGGTAATGCCGCCGCAGTTGCGCATAGCGAGAGGATTGAAAGTAGCTTCATGGAATCGAGTCGCCGGTTGCTGGTGATGAGTGTCCAGCTATCGTGTTCGAAAGAGCACTTATAACTGCTCATCACGACTACAGTCAATACCTACCAGAAACAGAACGGTACAAGGCACTCCGCTTCATATTAGATCATATGGCAATCGCATGTCGAAGCGGCTCTAGTTTGTGGGGTAGTATAGTAGCCAAGGCCGTGGTATAGTCGTAATTGGTGCACGGAAATCGAGCGGGGCTTCCATTCAATTACCACGTTTAGAATGAACGCGACGGACCGACAGCCTCCGCATCGCATCTAGTAGACTATTTTCCCTCAAGTGCCATGTGAAAGATAGGTTTGCGCAATGGGCGACAGTTGGGCAGAAAAGTCGGCGTCCATGGAGGCAATGTTTCTGAATTCCTCCGGTGCTAACCAACGATGTAATATATCCGCGACGATCTTTCCGGAAACCAGCGTGACAATGAAACGCGAATCATGTCCGACATAGGAGGCGGGAACGACAAGGCTAGCCATGACCACTCGATCAAGACTTGACAGTAAGAAGATCATATATACTTCTTCTGTGTGACGATAGAGACGTTCCAAACTGCAAGCTCAGCAGTCTTACTCCCACATAAGTCTGGCATTCTCAGGTTATTCGAGAAAAACAACAGGCTTGTTTTCGATGAAGTTCTCGTACAGGGTTTTCGAGCGCCTATTGCGCGTTACAAGGCAGGGTAAATGAGTTGTATACGCCTGTCTGGGACTGAAACGACCATGTGCGTCCTGGTCAAAATCGGGAATGTGATGAGGAGATGAGAGTTCAAAGGAAGAGTCGGCCAGCAAGAAGAATTATTGCAGCGCCCGAACGAAGAAGAAATACTAGGGCCAATTCAGTAATCCGTACGATAATGGAGTTCATTAACCGGTGGTCGCCTACCGTAAAAGCAAACGGCCCCAGGTTTCGGACAATACTGGAACAGCGGAAGAAGTCGTTGAGAAGAAGAAAGTTATTGTCCGAATCTGCCCTGCTGCTCGCTTTACCTGGATGATGTCGAGCATAAGGCTGCAGGACTGCACATGCGCACGGAAACGTCTGCATGCACGTCGTCAAGCTGAGATATCAGTGCCGGTCCTCGCATTTCATGTCCCTGCGAAGCGATACGGCCTAGGCCATTTCAATGTGACACGAAAGATTGGTGCCGGACCGTGTACCACTGAACTACTCCGGCACTTTGTGTCGAAAGACCAAGCCAAGGATAGCTATGGTGTTGGTTGGCCCTCCCATCTCCATACTAACGGTTGGAGAAGGCCTTCGGAGAAGTTCACCCTATGATTTCACAATTCTCTTGCTGTCTATTAAAGAAAGCATTGGGTTCATGAAGCTGTAGGGGATATGCTGACGAAACGCCATTTGGAAAGGGTGCCCAAGCTAGACAAGAAGTACTACGTGTTAGTCAGGTAGTTTTATCAAGGCGGTGATGGCATGGCAGATGCAATCTCGCGGGACGGACACCTAGTGTGGGGGTTGTTAGAGCTATGCAATGTAGACGAAGTTGACAACGCCGCCAACTGTCAGCAAGTCAGACCTCGATAGTGAGCAAACCACCGGTGAGTTTGCCTGACGTGGGCGGTCAATGTTGGATTCGAGTCATCCAATAGTGGGACAAATATTCGGGGTCACGATCCTTTTGGTAGGCGCCATTTTGCGCCTTGCCAACTCGGAATATTCACACAGACCGTCGCATGCTCGATGATGCAGTCCATCCTGATCTGACTGAAATCGCGCACTGCCTCCAATGCCGTGCAACCCGCATCTTGCTTATGGGTTGCAGAGAGCTGACCTGGTGTAGCGGTGCACTGAACTAAGATCTGGGCTAGTGCCGTCGCGTGGCGTAGCCGAAGGTAGCGTCAAGGACGATGACCACGAGTCTGGTGTTGCTTGTCTTAGTCCCACACGAGGCGTGGCGTAAGACGTGGGCATCAGTATCGATAGTCGAAAGCGCACGGCGTAACTTGCCGTTCCAGCTAATGCCCCGCAGTGTCGCCGTTGAAGCCACAAAAGGACATGATCAGGGACGTCGTACTAAACGAAGCAAGGAGAGGTCTGTCCTAGGGTGCGTTTCAGACCCAAATTTGAGGATGTGAATGTGGAAGAAGAATGAGACAAGAGGGCAAAGCAAAACGTTGTGTTGTATCATCCCACATATCAGCTCTTCTCCAGGATAGCCCTGGAACGTGCTGCACATTGAGGCTCGGGCCGGTTAGGGCCGGAAATGTGACCTGGGCTATCAAGTCTGACCCCGGGTCCGCGTACACGGTTGATCGACCATAGCGGCCGAACGCGTACAGTATCGAATTTTCCGCGCTCGGCTGCGGCAGAGCGCTCTCACTGACAAGGATGCTGCACCTCCTGAATAATCTTCGTGTTGGTCAGGCGAAACAGTGCGTGACCGGTTGCTTTGCGCTGAATGCTGCTTGATAACCTGTATTGTATTTGTGCTACACATCTCAACGGAGACTGGCCGCAATTAGAAAAACAATTGCATCGTTCATGGAATTACTTAACGTGGTGTTGCCGAAGACTACCGAATGTCCGTGCTGGAACATTCAAATGGGTGTACGGCATGAAATTCGACAGCAAAGGCTGATCGTCCGTTGTCCGCGGCTCACCACCAGGGTGATATGACACGAGAACCAACATCTCGCGAGAGTATCAGATGGAAACAATAGGCACAAGAAATTGCCGTTCTTACTGGGAGTTTGCTCTGCCAATGACATCCTGTCGAGAATGACGCACAAGCATTTCAGCCACCGCCGATTCCGACTTTCTAAGGCCCGAGCCCTGCGAGCACCGTCACAGTTCCTCACCTCAGCCTCTCCCAAAACAAAATCTCGCCAAGGCTAGGCGGAAGCGGGGGGTAGACCGCGGTGCCCTAAAATCTCCTGCTTCTCTTGCTCCCTGTGATTCCAGAAACTAGCTGGCTTTCTTTGAGCGTCGTTTGTTGTCCCCAGGTCTCCCAGTCGCCATGAGTATTCGGATAAATGCGACGGTGCAAGAGGCCCGAACAGCTGCAAACCACAGCCAGGAACAATGGGACCGATTCTACGTAGGTATGCTCTTGTCGCAAGGGTATGCTTGGCTAACGAGACTAGTTCATAACCAAAGACGAGGCCAGGCAGCTTGCGGAGGCGCACCCTGACTGGAAAAGATGGATCCTCATCCCCGCGAACGAGAAAGAACAAATGCTGGAGAGGATCAACACCCGCCTTCGAGCTGAGGGTATTCCACCTGTCGAGATGATAATTTTGAAATGGCGGGTGTCGCAACTGCTCCGAGACATCCAACGGAAATACGGTATGTGCATTGGTGCCCGACTCTGGTGACTCGACTTAGCGGTCAGCTATAGGGACACACTGTACAAGTACATTAGCTAATCCAAATGATTTGCAGAAGCCGGCAGTATGCTACAAGGAATGCCGGGTACGAGCTCAGGGTCAGGGTCGGGGTCACCAATACAAGTACAGACAGCCCAATCGCCTCCGGACAGCAGCGTTCAGTCATCGAGCCCACAGCGAACGGAGTATTCACCAAGCGAGACTCGTCCATACGACCCAATACGGGATGTGTAGTACCCAAGCCATCGGAGGAAATCTGTCTTTTACAGTGCGCGTTCAATGTCGAGAAAGGAACACCCGACCAACATTCGGTATTCGAGCCTGATACCCCAACCGCACAGCGCGGTATGGATAACGAGGATAGAGCGAGCTAGCGAAACCACCTCACAATGAGACGGAGCGCGATAGGATCCAGCAAGCTATCTTTGTTCGATCGCTGCGGGAGGCTTCGAGGAGACGCATCGGCAAGAGACATCGATTCGTGAGAAGCCGACTATACGACCGCAGTGTTCGGTGCGGCTACACCGAGAGCGGTCGACTCGATCTTGTGTATAGTGCTTTGGTACGTAGCCCAGGCAGTGCTGAGGGTGTGGTGTGCCGTCCAACCCAGCTCTTGCCTACTTCCAATATCTTTTGCTTTTCCCAGTACCTGCAGTCTTCTAAACGTCTCAATTCTCCGATGCTGGCTACTCATTATTGATTGGTACACAGCCTGCACTTGGTCTTGGCGTGGTGGCTTTTCCGTCCGCGTGCATTGTGCATATGGCCCAATCTCGAAAGAGTCGGAAACAGTACTAGGTTCTAGACCCTGCGTCCTATTTTCCGGTCCCCTCTGGCGTTTTCTTTTGACACTGCGTACTTGCATATCCCAAACTAAGAGCAATGCATCGCAGTAATAGGAGTTATCACAGCTTTGTATACTGTGTTGTTTCAGGGGCACAACTCATTCGCTGCTAACAGTCGAAGATAGTACCACTTGCATCCATGGCTCGTGCCAACGTCGTCGCAGGGTAAGGACCGATGACGGTAGAGTCGAGGTGCGTAAGCGCAACGCAATCTTGTATGACGCAGCTGGAGACAGCATGACGGCGTATCCTTTGGAGCCGTGACCAGAATCTCTTGGTTTTTTTGGATGTTCCTGCTGCCGTGTGAGCTGCTTACCATGTGGGTCTGGTTCTTCTCAGAGGCACTCCTGTCCGTCGCTGGGGGTGCAGGCAATGGATAACCATCACCTGCAGAACCAGTCGGACATGCCTGGAGTGTCGCGATTCAAGGTACCAAAGGGCTACAGGCGTGCACGCCTGTTCTCGGCTCGCTGGCGGAGAAGCTCTTGCGGGAGCGTCGTGACATCAGAGAGAAATCGCACGTTGGTGTGGCAACCATGCCATCGTGTCGGAGAACATGAGCAGGTATGGCATCTTAGATGGCAATACCGAGATGGATGATAGATCGATGATGAAGATGAAAAGGTCGTGAAGGCTGGTGACAGAACGTGTCCGACGTGACTGCCTCCAAAGTATGGTACCCTAGCAACTAGTACTCCCCTCATCCATGTCAGAGGGCAGCCACACCCACATCCCATCTTCAAACTCTTGTAGACAACGGCCTTTTGCTGCCTCTGT